ATTAAAATTTTAGTCAAATTTGTCTTATAAATTTTTCAGGAAAAAATTTTTTTTATTTATCACAAATTTTCATTTCTCCAAAATCTGAAAACTGATAGGTTTTTTTTTTGTTTTTTTTTTGAAATGGAACGTCAACATAAATTGATTATGTCAAATTTCTCGTTCAATTAATTTAATTAAGTCCTCAATTTTTGTTCATTTTTTGTTATTTAAAAAGAAAATCTTTGTGATCCTATAGCGTCAGTTCAAAAAGTTTAAAAAGATATTTAAATATTTTAAGAAAAATTTAAATATATTAATAAAACATTTTTTGGTTTGTTTTGTTTCAACCATTTATCAAATTTTGTGGGCTAAAAATGTTTTTTTTTCCTGGTAAATTTTTTGTTTTGTCAAAAATGTAAATTTAAATTTTTTTCCTTTAATGTATAGCTTCATATTTTTTTCAAAAATATGAACATTCAAATATTTTTTTTAAAAATATATTTTATGGTAAATGTTTTTTTCTTCAAAATTTATTTCTTTAAAATTTTTTAAAAGTATTTGCTTGTCAAAAATTTTTACACTTTTATAAGGCTTTTTTTAAAAAAGAAATTCTTTTCCCACCAAGCTTGGACACTACATGAGGAACCATGAATTTTTAAATGGGTATTTCAGTAATATTTAAGGTGGTTCATATCCTATTGTTCCTAAATCAGAGGACATAAATATTCACTGGAAGGAATATTATTCAATCATCCTGAAGAAATGTTTATATAAATGACAGTTTAAACATTTAAAAGATTTTCAGAAATATCAAAATTTTGAAGTTTTGATTTAAAATATTTTGGATAAGATGTTTTAATTCGATTTCTTGAAAAATTTGCTTTTTTGTAACTGTTTGAATTTTTGGATTAAAAAAACTAAAGCTATTTAGCCTATTCTGTGTTCAAGTATATTTTATAAATTTGTTATATTTCCATCAAGACACTACATGGTTGATTTTTTTGAAAAAATAAATATTTTAAATTAAATCCTTTCTAATTAAAAAAAATTTTTATTTATGAATTTTAAAGCTTTATTCAATTCATAAAATTTATAAATAATTAAAAATGATAAGACCAGAAAACAAATCCGCAACTGTCATTTTCAAAAAATTTTTTATTTTTCGACAAATAGCACCATTTATTTTTTTGATTCAATTAAAAATTGAAATTTTGTTTTTTTTTTTGTTTTTAGTGAAAGAAATATTTTATAAAAAATTAAAATATTTCATAAAATAAAAAATTGTAAATTTCTAATTACATTTTCAATTGATTTTAGATTTATAGGGATACTCTTTCTGATTTTATTTTCAAAAATTAATAATATCAATCGTTATTTCTGTCTTTAATTATTTAGCCTTTTCTCCTTAAATAGTTTTTTTTTTCATTTTTTTTTTCAGTAATTATTTTCTGCGATCTAGCATTTTCATTGCTTTGCATGTGGGTGAAAAATTTAAAAATGAACAATCTTGAACACTCAAATATTTTTTTTAAAATGTTAACAATTTACATTATATAATTTTTATAATATAATGAACGATTAATTTTCAAAAATACCTGTCTGTATTTTTCAATATAAAACGTTTTTTTTTTAGGACTCAGAGAAATATCAAATCAAAAGCGTTTGGCTTTTTTTGAAGAAATCCCATGTTTTTTTATAAATTTTATATGCCACTATTTTTCTATGTGGGTTTTTTAAATTACGCTCAATTTTATGATTTCATGTATTCATGCTAACAAAAAATAATAAATAGTTCCTTATAATATGGTTTATTTTAAAATTATTGCCAAAAAAAAGAGTTTCCACCCTAACAACATTTTATGAGATTCGAATCAATTTGTTTTATATACCATTCTTTTTCGGCCAAAGCCTATATAAAATTTTAGATTCATGGAAAAAAAATTATTACTTTTTGACAGTACAGCAGTTGAATTCGACCCCTTTTTTTTTTTTTGTGCCATGTCCTTTCAGGACGTAGACGATCATGGCTCTCCACCACCTCTTTCCTTTGCAGCTCTCAACAAGTTCCTTCCCTCTGTCACCTCCCCCCAGACCACGTTATGTCTTCCACTTGCTTAATCCCGCTATACGTTTTTTTTCCCTGGTCTCTCTTTCCCTCTATTTGACCCGCGAGTATCAGATTCTCCAGGCACTCTTTCCTCATTATGTGTCCCAGAAACTTCAGCTGCCTCTTCCTGATATTAAGTATCCTCCTCCTTGTTTGAATCCTCTCTAAGACCTCATTGTTGCTCATACGCTCGGTCCATGATATCCTTAGCATCCTTCTGTAGAACCACATCTCCGTCGCCTCGAGTCTTTTATTTATCTTTGAGGAAAGCGTCCAACATTCGCTGCCGTAAAGAAGGAAAAATGCCACGTAGCAGCTCGGTACTCTTTTTCTTTGTCACCAAAGAAATCCTCCTGTCTCGCAATACTCTGCCTAGCTTTTGGAATGCATCCTTGGCCATCCCAATACGTCTACGGATCTCAGTGTCGAACTAGACCGTCCTCTGTCAAAACGCTTCCCAGATATTTAAACTTCCGCGTCTGTCTTGATTCTAGTGTTCCCGACCTGCAAATCGCATTTCAGGCTCATCCTTTTAACTGATTACCATGCATTCTGTCTTCTTGAATTTATGCTTCTTCTTATCTTCTTGAAATTTCTATTTATTCCAGATTGTTAATGTCTTTTTTCGTATCAGTTCTCCATCTGCATCATATTTTTCTGACTTCTTCAAATGCTAAATTCAGTAGGGTTTCCAATTCTCTTATATTTCTGTATTACAACAGGTCATTGTAAAAAATGAATTTTTTTATTTTTTTAAATTTTCTCGTTCTTGTGATGTATTTTCTTTTCTTGTTATCAAATTATCAAATTATCAAGCAGATTTTTAAATAAAGCCAAAACACCAATATTTAAAAATTTTTGAAACATTTAAAAACCTAAAAATTATAAGTATTTTAATAGTTAATTAAAATATTTTGAAAAAAACTTCCGTCGTTAAAATTTTTTTTCTAAAATATAAAAAACATTAAACTATTTACTCAATTTTTTAAAATTGTTAAACAGTAATTTTGAAATTTGAATAATCAATTAGCAAAAAGGAAAAACATCAAAAATATACAGTTTGATCTTACACAATGACAAAGGGAAAAACGATAAAACAACCATTAGGCATGTTTTAAATTCCACAAAAAAATAAAAAAGATTAATTAAATTGTCAAAAATTGTCAACGATACTTTATTTATGATGAACAAAATAATTTGTTTGACAAAATAACTAAATTGGATTTTGTTAACAATTAAAAACACGACCATTTTTGATAATTTTGAAACGATTTATATGGAAATGCTGAATATTAAAACATTTCTACAACTTATAAAAATCACAGAAAAAAGACAAACAGACTACCATTCATATACCAAAATAAATGCGCCTCGATGTGGGCACAATTAATTTCCTGCCTTTTACCAATTCGTAAAGAGTATTTTGAAAAAAGAATTTATGAACAAATACCTAACAGACCTGACAAAAAGATAGATAAATGATAGATTAATGGTCAGGAGATATATAGATAGATAGATATTATCTAAATTGTCCTTGACTGATTTACAGAAAAAATTATGTAAAATGTTGATTTTTCTTAATGGAACAGAAGGAATGGATAGATAATGCCCAGATAGATAGATAAATAATGAATTTAATGAGATGTACATATGGAAATTGAATGTTTATAAAATAACATGTGAACAACTTAGATAGATAAATTTTTAAAATAATGGAAGTTTTTTCCTCGCCTTTAAAAACGAAAACACCAACTGATATAAATGCTTTAAAGATAATTCAATAGATGTGAACACGATATGATAAATAGATTAATCGATAAATGTTTGAATTTTAATGATTTTTAGTCGAGGGTTTATAAATAGAAAGTACGACTGATATAGATGACCTATATCAAAATTCAATAGAATGTGAACAATGTATAAAATTTCGATAGATAATAGATAATAAATAGATTAACCTTGAAATAGATTTAGGAAAAACTTTGATAAATCCTTCAATGTAGATTTTTATCATGTTTGATATGGCCAGTGTTTGCATAAATTTATAAATGAGTTAGGTTTTTTTAAACTTAAGATTAATGATTTCTTGTGGCAATAGATATGGATAACCAGAAAATGAAGATAGATAAAATGTTCTATTATTTTATAAAACAATAGATGAATAATGATATTCATAGAATGTTTCGAACTAATTATATCAGATTTCCAAATCAACTTAACATTAAGCAAATGCATTATGTTTAAATGCCTTCTATTTCTAATAACATTTGTAATGACATTGAAATCGCTTAAATTCATTCCACAGAAATGCAAGTCTCTCATAATTTTACTGGAAACACAGCGTCACTTTATATTCACGGTCATTGTCAAAATTCAAATTTGTCGTTTAATCAAAAAACGAAAAATGGTCAAAAAGGAATTCGAATTTGTTAGAAAAGAAACCGGAATTGAAATTGAAATCGAATAAAATAAAATAATACACGATAAAACAACCGAAAAAGAAATGAACAATTCAGATAAGAAATAATCAGGACTTTGAACAGGAAGGAGTAAAAGCAACATTAATGGGAGCACATTTGATAAAATAGAATCAAACTTATATCGCAAATAAAAAATTATTTAAATATTTGAAAAATAAATAGAAAATTTAAAATAAAAATCGATACGTACATTTTTCATATTGATAAAGAGTTGTTATTTGGGAACTTAAAATGGACATGCGAATAATGGGAAACCATACATCAACGTTTTTGTACAGCAGAAATATTCTTCATCGTTTCGATGTGAAAAGAACAAGAAGAGAAAAAAAGGAGTCGAAAATAGAAATGAAAGGATGAATCGACCTGATTCAATAAATATTCAAGGCTACAAAAAATCAAAGTAGAATTTCCTGTCAAAACTTGCAAACTTTTTAAAAAAAAAAAAAAACAAAAAAAAAGGTAAACAGATAGATAGATAGATAATTTAATAGATAGATAATGGGTTTATTTTTTACATATATATGAACATAGATATTGAACGGAGATAGATGATAGATAGATAATAGATAGATCTATAGATAGATTTATAAATATGGACATAGAACAGTGATAGATTCATTTAAAAGATAGATCCATCTATGTCGATCGATAGATAGATACATATGAACAGAGTTCATGATTTATTATATGAACAGATAGATTCATCGATACATAGATAGAATTAAAATATTTAGATAGATAGATAGATAGATAATAGATATATATATATATGATGAATATATATGATATATAGTGATAGATTCATCTTTTGAGATATTACTTTATATAGATAAATATATTTAGAATAGATAGATAATTTCTTATAACTTGAGATTGATATATTGATATGAATTCAACGTATATCTTAAATAAATAGATATATATAAATATTTAGATAGATACATAATGATTCAAATTATAGATTGATAGTGTGATAGATTTGATATGAACACACAGACAGATAGATAGATAGATAGATCATACATACATAACATACATACTAATAAATTTTCCTCTAATAATGCTGCAGGTTGTACTACTTAAAACCTTATTTTAGTAGATATTGATTTATACACATATAAACAGTATTTTTTTTTTTATTTTCTTCTACCGGCCTAAATATTAGAGAAATGTTATTAAACAAATATATGCGTTCTCTCGCATGATTCAAATCTGCGTCCCTAAGTAAACGGATCATCTAAACGAAGACGTTTTTAAATGCCTAGAAGAAGGTGAAGAAAAAGGATTTTAATTTCCATACCAAAATGAAAAGAGCAAAAAAAAAAATAAAAAAAATCAACGTCCGGTGTTAAATCAAAATCAGTTATGTACCATGCAAATGATACACGCATAGAATATAACTTTCGATACAATGAATGACGAAAGAATTATTTTTCTCCCAAAATTTTTTTTTTTTTCTGCGGTAGAGCATTTGCCATCCGACTCTTTTCTATTATGTCCTTTCCTTAAACCATGTTTATACCTTTCCAATAAAATTATACAAGGTTCGACTGGAATTCGAAATCGGCTCTCAGATTCCTCAATCCGAGCCGTTATTCATTAATCAACCGTATTCTATTCGCAAAACAGTATATCGGCCATAAACGCTTTGGCTTTCCCTGTAGTGCAATAGATTCAACGTCCTTAATTGGACCTCAAGCAAATTGATGTCAAAAAGAGAAAGCTTCTCACTTGTCACTGCACGCATCATCTTATTTTTCGTTTGATCTCTGTTTATCTCCGGAAAGGATAAAATCCTTGTACAAACAGCAAACCGAATGTGCCCTTTATGGAAATGGTGCTATATCTGTGAGTCCTGATTATGCATGGGGTTCAGAAATGAATAAAAAAAAAATCCGAAAGACCTCGAGGTTACCGGTACCATTGCCATCTTTGTCGATGGCCAACACAAAATACCGAAATGAATCAAAGTCAGACAACACATAACTTTACAAAAGGAGTCCTCATTATCTAATGTCAATGGTGTATGGAATTCAAATACACTTGCACAATATGTGAATTTTTGTTTGGTTGATTGACTGATTTTTTTACGGATTATTACTGTAGCGTATGTTGGACGATTTCCTCAAAGTTGAAGAAGAGACTCGAGGCGACGGAAAGTTGGTTCTACAGAAGGATGCTAAGGATATCATGGCTCGAGCGTTTGAGCAACGATGAGATCTTAGAGAGGTTGCAAACAAAGAGGAAGCTTATACTTAATATCAGGAAGAGGCAGCTGAAGTTTCAGGGACACATAATGTGGAAGGAGGGCCTGGAGAATCTGATACGACAACAAAGAAAAGAATACTGAACTGTTACGTGACATCTGTCCTTCTTTACGGCAGCGAATGTTGGACTATTTCCTCAAAGATGAAGAAGAGACTCGAGGCGACGGAAATGTAAATTCGGGAAAACACATTGAGGAAAATGGTTTGCAGTTTATTTCATTCACTCATTAATTTATTTATTAATCATTTTGTTAGTTAATTTTGGGCAGCTGAGGTGATAACTCTTTTTATCACTGTCATTTTGGATGACTGTGAGATTTATAGCAAAAAATGCAATAACTTGCCGGTGCCTGTTTCAACGGAGATGTTGAGGTTACCCCTTTCCTCATCTGATTTGAAGCTCCTAAAACCTGGCTGGCGATTGGCCGATTTGCTCAGATCTTTTGGGGAGAAGCGTTTCACTTTACCGGAGTAATCGAGAAACGTAATTCCTAATTCTTGCACATACTGTAACCGACTTGGGTTTTAGTGGTTTTACTGCCTTGTATGGGGTGATAACGCGTAAAAAAAAATAGCTCAAAAGTTTTAGTGCGTCTGTTCACAAAAAAGAAAAATATTACAATATTTACTCGTAAAAGTCAACAAACCTATCCGGCTAAACAGACCTACAGTTTAATCGGCAGGTCGATGGTTTTGTTGATCAGGATTTAGCCGACATAGTATTCATACCATTTCTTGGAGTCATGAGTTGGATGAGGGCCCTGAACCAGTACAGTTCTGCATACATCTGTGTAAATCAGGGCGACCGCTTCGTTGCACCCAATGACGCAGATATATATTTACGATAAATTCTAAAACACAGGTGTATTTTACGATACACGCCAAAACACACATATAGTTTACACTGTATGTCGATGTAAACAGTTCTTCATTAAATGTAATATTTATTATTATTATTATCATTATTATTATTATTATTATTATTATTATTACTTTAGATAACAAATGGTAGAAACCAATCAATATTAAGAAAAGAATTAAAATATAAAATTATCAGTAAATATATGAGAACAATATTTTTATTATTGCTTTTGTTAAAAACATTTAAAAGATAAATAATAGAAAAAGAAATTGACTATTTAGAACCGATATTAAGAAAAGTAAGCAAAAGAAAATAAAATGTAAAAGCAGAAAATATTTTTAGATTGTAAGACATTTTTGGAGATAATAATAATTCATTTATAGTCTTAATTATCTTAAATGGGTGATGCAACTTGATATGGCGTAAGTCAGTCTCAACAACAATAATTATAGCTGTTGTATCATATCCGTCAACAGATGAGATCTCTTTTAATCTTCATATGCGTGCCCCACCGTTGGGGTCTTTGGGGTGGATCACGCTTTGTCTGGGTCCTCGACTTCGACCTTAACGCCAAGGTCCTCGTCTTCGAGCTTACGACCGTAGCAGGAGTTTAGAACTCTGGATGGCATCACTCTCAGAGTCATTGAACCAGGCTAACACTTCGACAACGAGAAGGAGCGACAGCCAATCAATATATAGGAAAAAAAATTAGAATATAAAATTATCAGCAAATATATGAGAACATTATTATTATTGCTGTTGTTAAAAATATTTAAAAGATAAATAATAGAAAAAGAAATTGACTATTTAGAACCAATATTAAGAAAAGAAAGCAAAACAATATAAAATGTAAAACGAGCAAATATTTTTAGATTTTAAGACATTTTTGGAGATAATAATAAATTATTGATAGGCTTAATTATCGCAAATGGTTGTTGCAAATTGATATGGTCGTAAGTCACTCTTAACAATAATAATTATAAGTATTACAGAGGAAAATAAGCACTAACGATATTCTTTAAAAAAAAACTAAGACGATTTAAAAAGGGAAATAAATAAAGCTTCGGTCGTAACCAAAAAAAAAAAAAAAACAATATGGAAGAGACAATTGAAATATACAGGTTATATAACGAGAAAAGAGGATCTTGAAAATTTGATACTCACTAGGCAGATTGACAGAGGAGAACAATGCCGTGAACTAACAAGAATACCTGAATAAAATAGATAGGAAAACAAGATTTAGGGAACGTAATGCAAAGATTCATTATTGTCGGCTATAATCATAAGAGTATAAGATATGAAGATGACACATTGTTAATAGCAGACACGGATAGGAATCTATAAAAACTCTTACAGAATTTAGTGAAGGAAAGCGAGAAGAAAGGATTAAACATCAACTGCAATACGACCGAATGCATGGTTGTTTGCAAAGGGATGAACCGAAATTTCAAATTACAAATCAGAGATGCCAACGTCAAACACGTATCCAAAGAGTTCTTTAACAGTGGGCGGAAAATGTGTAACAGGCATCAAGAGGCTTTCCAGAAGCTAAGCAAAGTATTAAGAAATGGAAAAATTTCGTTGAAAACAAAGGAACGAGTACAGAAATATTACGTGTTATAAGCCATTCTATATGTCAGTGAATGGTGGTCAGTTTCTTCAAAGAAAATGAAGAGACTGGAACAAAAAAAATGTGGTTCTACAGAAAGAGGCTGAGGATACCATGGTCCGAATATATGAGCAACGACAAAATCTTACAGAAAAATGGAAACAAAAAGGAAACATACTTTACATCAGGAAGAGACAGTTGAAATTTCTACAGAAGGATGCTGAGGATACCATGGACCGAATATGTGAGCAACGATGAGGTTTTAGAGAAAATGGAAACAAAAAGGAAACTTATACTTAACATGAGGAAGAGACAGTTAAAATTTCTACAGAAGGATGCTGAGGATACCATGGACCGAATATGTGAGCAACGACAAATTTCTAGAGAAAATGGAAACAAAAAGGAAACTTATACATAACATCAGGAAGAGACAGTTGAAATTTCTACAGAAGGATGCTGAGGATAACATGGACCGAATATGTGAGCAACGACGAGGTTTTAGAGAAAATGGAAACAAAAAGGAAACTTATACTTAACATCAAGAAGAGACAGTTGAAATTTCTAGGCTGCATAATGAGGAAAGAGGGATTAGAAAATCAGATACTCAAAGGACAGATTGAAGGCAAGTGGGACAGGAGAAAAAGAACGCATAGCATAATTAATGAGCTTGAGTAAATGGGTGGTGGAACAAGGTTTAAAGAAATAACAAAAAACATAATTTAATTCAGAACTACAAAGGACAGGAAATTGTGGAGAGCCATGATCGCCTACATCCAGAAGGAACATGGCACATGAAGAAGAAAAATGAGCTTTTGTAAATGGATGGTGGAGCAGGGTTTAGGAGAAAAGACAAGATTTATTAAGAAATACAAAGCACTGGGAATTGTGGAGATCCGCGATTACTGGGGTCGTGATGGGACAAGAGACAAAGAAGAAGAAGAAGAAGAAGAAGAAGAAGAAGAAGAAGAAGAAGACGACTGCGACGACGATCACGAAGAAGTAAAAGAAGAAAAGGAAGAAGAAGAAGAAGACGATTTCGACGACGATGACAAAGAAGAAAAAGAAGAAGACTTCGACGACGACGATGACGAAGGAGAAAAAGAAGAAGACTTCGATGACGACGACGATGACGAAGAATAAAAAGAAGAAGACTTCCACGACGATGACGATGATGAAAAAGACTTCGACGACGAAGAAGATGACGAAGAAGAAGAAGTAGAAGAAGAAAAAGAAGAAGAAGAAGAAGAAGAACTCTATCTACGTTGTGTTAATCATTTGTTATTGATTATAATTTTGAAATCTCAAATTCATTCTCTGCGTGTTTCGCGTCTAAGAAGAGAATCTTTTAAACTTTCTAGTCACGACACGAGAATTTCTGATAGGAACCACTTTCATGATTCCATTAATTTCTTCAAGAACTGTCCTCCTCTTTGGATCTCTACATTTCTTACTTTTGACTGAATGAAGAATTTTCTATATATAATGATTTATTCAAGCTATGATTCTCATCTGGATGTTACTACAGGGATATCTGAAATTGTGCCATCCTCTGTTTTATATATATATATATATATATATATATATATATATATATATATATATATATATATATAGCATCTTCAATTTATAGTTACATGAATCATTCATACAAAAAACAAATATAGAGATTAATGATTTAAATGGCGAGAATACATCTTCGCAAACAATTTCAATAAGGTACACTAACCCCGAACCTGTATATGAAAGATATGATCCCTGTTTATAAATCCCAGTTGTATAAGGTCTTTTACAAGCTTTCGTCTGTTCCTACAGACATCCTCAGGTATGGAAATAGATTTCTTCTTGTTTTTTACTTCTCGGTAATAAGAGGACAACGAAAATATAGATGTAATCCGAAAAAATGCTATGAGAAATGTGTTATTGTTTTGGAACGTGCGGTCGCTACGCTCACTTTGAATTTTAAATTTTAAGGTTGTGCGTTTTTGTACAAATATAGTAATAAGAGAATTCTTTTGTACTGGTAGGTTTTCCGTCAATGTGGCATGAACTATATCGTTCAATAATTACAGGAATGTAAAAACTAAAAAAGAGTTTATGCAACTGGAATTTATAAACAGGGATCATATCATTCATATACAGGTTCAGGGTTAGTGTACCTTATTGAAATTGTTTACGAAGATGTATTCTCGCCATTTAAATCATTAACCTCAATATGTGATTTTTGTATGAATGATTCATGTAATATATATATATATATATATATATATATATATATATATATATATATATATAAATATTCGTGTCCATAAAGTTCGTGTGCGCTTTAAAAAATATAACTAAATTATAACAAATGGATCTTTCAGCTCTTAAAGAAAGTGACTATATACTGGCGCTATAAATATAAACCTAAGAACTATAGTTATGATCTCAAATAGACTAATTAAATCTAGACAGCGATATGGTTGCCATACACGGAATCCAAATCGTTTCGACGCATATAAGCTACTGTTTTCGGAAAACGAACATTAAAAATGGCATCAGACAAATGAATCGTTCAGCTTTTAAAGAAAGAGACTCTAGACTGGCGCTACACAATAACAAACAAAGAACATTACCAAATAAGAGAAAACACATCGCTTGAAGAGTTCCAACGCTAACTTAAATAAAAAGTTAGGAAGGAAACTCCCGGAAAGACTAGAAAGTGCGATTCCTGAAGAAGAGTTTTAAGTAAAAGATCTTTTTTAAATTATAACTGACTCTAACATAAACATTCGGTTATTTAAATGTGACATCGTTCTTTTATGGAAACATCTGATCTCACCATATGCGATTTACAGGTCGCGAACACTAGAATCAAGCAGACGCGGAAGTTTAAATATCTGGGAAGCGTCTTGACTGAGGGCGTTACGTGTGACGCTGAGATCTGTAGGCGTATTGGGATGGCCAAAGAAACATTCTAAAAGTTGGTCAGGGTTTTGCGAGGCAGGAGGATTTCTTTGCTAACAAAGAAAAGAACACTGAGCTGCTACGTGACATCTGTCCTTCTTTACGCCAGCGAATGTTGGACGATTTCGTCAAGGATGAAGAAAAAACTCGAGGAGACGGAGATGGAGATCTACAGAAGGATGGTACGGTTATCATAGACCGATAGTGTGAGCAACGATGAGGTCTTAGAGAGGATGCAAACAAGGAGGAGGCTTATACTTAACATCAGGAAGAGCCAGCTGAAGTTTCTGAGCCACATACTGAGGAAGTAGGCTTGGAGAATCTGATACTCACGGGTCGAATAGATGAAAAGACAGAGAAGGGAAAACAACTCATAATATACCTGGCGGGCTTAAGCAAGTGGATGGCAGAAAGATGGGGAAGATGGTAGAAAGAAGGAACTTGTTGGAAACTGAAAGGAATAGAAAGAGGTGGAGAGCCATGATCACCTAGGTCCTAAAAGAACATGACACTTAAAAAGAAAGAAGAGTGCCATGGAAAATCGGAAAGAAAACGTCCTTCAAAAAGACATCACCGGGAATAATATGGCAACTTTATGTCTGTCATATAAAGTTTTAGTCTAAAAATTAAAAAAAAAACTCCCGCAGAAGTGTAGAAAGATAAGATATTCTCTTGAAAAATCGTTTTGCGTGCCATCATTGTCATATCGACTGTAAACCTCTATCTTGGAAACAGGAGGCTTAGAGAGGTTGCAAACAAGGATGAGGCTTATACTTAATATCAAGAAGAGGCAGCTGAAGTTTCTGGAACACATAATCAGGAAGGAAGGCCTGGGATAGCACGTGTCAGATACAGGGAAAGAGAGACAAGGGAAAACGACGCGGGACATACCTGGTGGTGGGTTGAGAAGGTGAATGACAGAACGTGCTCCGGGTGAGGTAGCAGAGGAAAGGAACATGTTGAGAGCTGCATAGGATAGAGGTAGATGGAGAGACATGATCACCTACGTCCTGTAATGATATGACATAAAAAGAAAGAGGGCTGCCATGGAAAATCGGAAAAAAATCATCCTTCAGAAAGACATCACCAGGAATAATATGGCGCCTTTATGTCTGTACTATAAAGTTTTAGTCTAAAAATGAAAAATAAAAAAAAGCCCGCAGTCCTGTAGAAAGATAAGATATTCTCCTGAAAAATCGTTTTGCATACCATCATTGCCATATCGACTGTAAACCTCTATCTTGGAAACATGTTAAGTGCTGCATGGGATAGATGTTGGTGCGACACTGAGATCCTGAGACGTATTGGGACGGCATTCCAAAAGCTGGGTAGAGTATTACGAGACAGAAGGATTTCTTTGGTAACAAAGAAAAGAATACTGAGCTGTTGCGTGACATCTATCCTTCTTTACGGCAAAGAATGCTGGACGATTTCCTCAAGGATGAAAAGACTCGAGGCAACGGAGATGTGGTTCACAGTAGGATGCTAAGGATATCATGGACCGAGCGAGTAAGCAACGATTAGGAGGCTTAGGGAGGTTGCAAACAAGGAGGAGGCTTATATTTAATATTAGGAAGAGGCAGCTGAAGTTTCTGGGACACATAATCAGGAAGAAAGGCCTGAGAAATCACGGGTCGGACAGAGGGAAAGAGAGACAAGGAAAAACGACGCGGGACATACCTGGTGGAGGGTTGAGAAGGTGGATGACAGAACGTGGTCTGGGGTGTTGTTCATGATGACGGTCGTCTTCGAGTATAGGATCCAGAGGTTAGCAGTGAATATTTCGAAGACAGTAGGAAAGCGTTGTTCAGGTTAGAAGTGGATATTTTGGTAAAAGTAGCAGAGCGTAGTTCTTCCTTCTGTTCCTCTTCGCCTGACAAGCTGGCACTGGACATTCGGGTAGAGTGAACAAAAATGGCCGTCTTTATACACGACGGATTGAATGTTCTACGTCTTCTGATTGGTTAACCTTCTATTGGTGGACTATAAAGTGAGTCAAGTCATTTGGGCTAACTGAATAGTACATATATACACAAAAAAACTGCAACATGTGGGAGTTAACAGAACAAAGAAACATATTGAGATCTGCAAGAGATAGAGGGAGGTGGAAAGTTATGATCGCCTACGTCCTGAAAGAACATGACACTTAAAAAGAAAAAAGAGTGGCATAGAAAATCGGAAATAAAACGTCCTTCAAAAAGACATTACCGGGGATAATATAGCGCATTTATGTCTGTAATATAAAGTTTTAGTCTAAAAATTAAAAGGAAAACTTCCGCAGACCTATAGAAAGATAAGATATCCTCATGAAACATCGTTTTGCGTGACATAAACGACAAAAATTAAGAGGGACAATGGCAAATCTACTTCACGAAAAGAAATTGGATGATCCATATCAGTAATTGTCGAATTGGCGTCCACGATAAGATATATGGGAATCGGTTTGCAGCTGATGTCTGTCAATATAATTAACTTTAGGTTAGTCAGGGACAGTTCAAGACTCAAGTAATGTTCGTTTAAGCTCATTAAGCAAAGTAATACGATAAGCTTCTTTTGTTATTAAGGAGAATACTCATATTAGTTTGGCACAAGGAGAATATAATAGAGCGCTTATTGCAGCTCAAATTTTATTCTGTAAGGAGAGATGGATTTAAAACCTGTCTCTATTAAGTTATTTGTAAGGTGAGTAAATAATTTGTGATCTGAGCAAATGGAATAATGAATTTTTATAGTAATTCATTTATAATCAATTTCCTTTGTAACCTATTTGCAATGCATTCCTGTAATATGGCATTTGTGATCAAAGCAACAACGATAAGTATACTCGTTAGAATAATTCATGAAATAATGTATTTTTATAGTAACTCATTTGCAATCCATTTCCCTTGCAAGCTATTTGCAATGCATTCCTATAGTAAGACATTTGTGATCAAAACAACAAAGATAAGGATACTAATTCGAATAATTCATTTAATAATGCATTTTTATAGAAACTCATTTGAAATACATTTCATTTGTAAGCTATTTGCAATGCATTCTGTAGTAAGACATTTGTGATCAAAACAACAAAGATGAGATTAGTAGTCTGAATAATTCATGAAATAATAGTAACTCATTTGCAATCTATTTTCCTTCTAAGCTATCTGCGGTGTTTTCATATATT